TATTCTTCGTGCAAAGTCTTGAACAATTAAGTCTTTTGTTACTTATTTTAACATATCTCTGACTTCACCGAATTTGTATAGATTTTTTTAATCTACTGAAATTTATTATGGATTGCGCATATTTATTTATTACATATAATAAAAAAATATAATTTTTTTATTAACTCACGCGTTCGAGTATTTATTATTAAAATTTCAAACAATTAAAAATTAATAATTGTTTCAAAATCATTCCTACTTTTTCACCTTCGTAGTTCTCAATGTCAGAATATCAAATTTATAATTTTAATTTTCTTTTTAGATGATGAAAGAAATACTGGGAATGAACTTTTGTACAACGTCACCTTGCATGTGTATGTTATTCGGCGACCGAATAATAATAATAATAATAATAATAGCTTGATAATAGAATACTATATACACATAATAAATATCCAGTATCCATAGACTTAAAATTGTTTGTTTTTTATATTTCGCCGAAACAATCTTATCTAAATTAATCAAAGATAAACTATTTTCCGAATCTTACTTCGTTAATCATTGATATGAGTTTTAATTGTAAAATCTCTCAAAAAAAGAAACATCCACGATAGAATATCAATTTCTATTGATAAGGGAAATTAAGTACAGCAGTTCATCATAGAAAAATGTTTAATTCAAGAGATAAGCTATATGTTAATAATACAAAAAAAAGAAGAAACAAAACTTACAACATTTTAATAAAGAACATTTTTTATAACAGTCACTTTTTTACATTAAATAACAAATTATAAAAAAATCGAGAACACGCTATTTTGCCGCATCAGCCTAAACATTGAAAATTGTCTTTAATTATTGTAAATAATATTTACGATTTAAAAATCCAAATCACATAATTCTTCTATTTCGTCGATGATTTGGCTGATGCGATAAAATTCACGATTTATTGTACAGTAAAAATAATAAATATTTACATGTGACAGTATATTCTATACAGAAAGTCAGTACCGCTCGAAAAAGTTGGTATTGATTGTCAAACATGAGTTGACAGCTTTCTTTCTGTCTCTCTCTTTCTCCCCCCCCCCTCCCTCTGAATCGACACTACACATAATCGTTACTACAATCATTATATATAAAAAAATATATTTGTATAAAATAAATATATATATAATTATATGACGATAGATTGACATGCCTCGTGATCACACAATAATAGACTCTCCTTTAAGTAGCTGGCGCTAATAAGTAAAATAAGTAAGTAGAAAAAACGTGAAAAAGGGATTAAGAAACCTGATTCGTCAAGCGGATTATGACACAATATGATTTAAGAAATAAATTCACATTCCATGTAGATAAACATCGCATATCTAGTCGATCACAGAGAGTCCAAATTCCCAAGGATTTATAAATTCACACGCAAGTGGTGACATCAGGAAATTAAACATTCGCTTATCCAATGATCACGTGGCGTATGCATATATATATA